TGCATCAGGGGCTCTGAGGACAGGTGTCAATCCATATGTCAAGGTGTCAATATGTCACATGTCAGGTGTCAATCCATATTCATTGTGATTTAGGAATGTTAGGTGATTTCTGCCCTTTATGGATTAAAACCAGACTCTGCATCAACTGTGTAATTTTCCATGGGAGTTTTGCTATGGATCCCCCTCCGGCATGCCACAGTCCAGGTGTTAGTCCCCTTGAAACAACTTTTCCATCCCTATTGTGGCCAGAAAGAGTCCCTGTGTGTTTTAAAATTCGCCTCCCCATTGAAGTCAATGGCGTTTCGGGCGGTTCGCCGGTTTGCGAACATTTGCGGAAGTTCGCGTTCGCCGTTCGCGAACCGAAAATTTCGGGTTCGCGACATCACTATTGCTGGATGTAATTTCCTTTTAAATCTCTTCAGATAAACTGAACTTGTCAAGGGCTTGTGTAGGAGCAACTTCAAACCTTTCTCCAGAAGCTTTGTTTGGCATAAAGATAATGGCCTTTTGGTTAACTTAAAAATACCATTTTCTTTTAATGTCTGTCCCTCCCTCTTTTTTGTACATGCACTGCTCCTCGATGTTTTCTTCTTTTAGGCCCCTGTTCCTTTTCCTGAGTAAATGTAATGTGTTTCTTTGTGTTTTCCTTTCATGTGTGTATTCCAAAAATGCTCATTCTTTGATGACTTGTTCAAGTGGTTAAATCTATTATAAGGAAAATTTAAATTTTGAGTGCTTTGTGTCATTGTTTAGTTTAATCGTTCTTAATAAAAGCAGAACATGTGACATACGTGTACAATAGACATGTGCAATTCGTTTCTGTCTGAATGTGAATTTGGACGAATTTCGTGCAATTCGGACATTCGGGTACTTCCGAATGTCCGAATAGATGAATTGCCGAATTGCCGAAGTCCCGAAGTTCAGAAATTACCAAATCTACATAGTGTCGAAGTGCCGAAGTTCTGAAGTGCCAAAGTTCTGAAGCACAGTATTGCCTAAGAACTAATATACTTACCCAGTGGAAGAATGAAGAATGTTACACTGTATACAATTTTAAATAAAAAGTATACAAACATAGCCAGGACTCAGCTGTAAGCATTTGCAACACTTACAACAATAAAGTAACACATTCATATAAAATTTCATGACAGGAATGAATAAGTAGATAACTCCCTAATCCCCACGGTATTAGGGAGCTATCTACTAAAAGGCTGAAAGACCTAAATTGGTCTTTCAGCCAAATTTACTAATACTAAGTAAAGATTAATGAGTATTACTAAATTATGCCCCTACTCGCTATACCGCGAGTAGGGGCATGTCTATTAAACAGTGAGCACTTTAAAAAAAAACAGTCCCCCCACCCGAGCCTCCACCCGTGCCGCGCGAGTGGGGCCTTCTAACCTGAAGAGATTAGCGTAACTTGCCACACATGCATCCTTTAGATTGTAAGTAGTATTTCTCATTAAAAAAAAAATATGGTAAAAATCTGGTATATCATTTTTTTGTGTGTGTAATAATATTTGTGGTCACTGTAACATTGTGTTTTATTTGGGAAATAGGCGCATGTCTATAGGCCCTCATCACGAGGAACATTACTGTACAGAGAAATTATATCCAGCCTGGCCAAAAGTGTGTGGGAAGTACTACCAAGTTTTCAAGGGCTAGTAGTATTTGGTTGGTATTTTGGAGAAATGATTTTGACATGTGATAGCATGATGTAGATATGCAATAGTTTTGCTCCCCTCACATTTATTTCTTTCAAAGCTGGCCTTGACTCATGTACATGTAGGGATAGTGATAATATTTGATTTCTTCGATATTTAGTTGATAGGTGCCCTTGAAGGCACACTAGGGTTTACTAGGATAGTTGCCTTTGCAGATATAAATAGAGCTGTCCAGTGGATTGGGTCCTTCATAATTAAAATGTGATTTTTTTTTATTCTATCTCCACTGCTTTTGCATTATCTCTGTTAGTACCCTATTCTGACTTTTTTGATTATCTCAAGTGTTATATATTTAACCGCGAGTACATGCTCAGTGTTATAGCAGAATAGGCACCTGCTTTCCCCACATTGCAGGTGCCTATTCTGCTGAAACTTACCAGGCCGGGGAGGAGGGCCAGCGAGGGAGCTCAGCGTTCCTGCTCCTCACTGCTCCCTCACGCGCACCGTCTGTAGTGAAGCCGGGTACCGGGCACCTGGCATCACTAAACCACACAAGGGAGCAGCGAGGAGCAGGTAAGCGGATCCAGGGAGATTCCCCACATTGGCTGCAAAAGGTAGGGAGCAATAAGAAAAAGTATGTGTGTGCAAGAATGTGTAAGTGTGTGTGTGTGTGTCTGTCAGTGAGTGAGTGTCTGTTAGTGAGTGTGTGTGTGTGTCTGTGAGTGTGTGTATGTGTGTGTGTGTGTTTCTGTCAGTGAGTGTGTCTGTCTGTGTGTGTGTGTCTGTCTGTCTGTTTGTGTCTGTGAGTGTGTGTCTGTCAGTGTCTGTGTGTGTCTGTCAGTAAGTGTGTGGGTGTCTGTTAGTGTGTGTGTGTCTGTCTGTCAGTGAGTGTGTCTGTCTGTGTGTCTGTCTGTTTGTGTCTATAAGTGTATGTCTGTGAATGTGTTTGTGAGTGTGTGTCTGTCAGTGTCAGTGAGTGTCTGTCAGTGTCTGTGTGTGTCTGTCAGTGAGTCTGTGTGTGTGTCAGTGAGTGTGTGTGTCTGTCAGTGTCTGTGTATGTCTGTCAGTAAGTGTGTGGTGTGTGTCTGTCAGTGTGTGTGTGTGTGTGTGTTGGTCAGTGTTGCATTGGCTGCGACTGGACAGTGGAGGCACGCAACGCCATGTCACATTCTGACGTAACATCAATGTGCTCCACCTTCACAGGGTTTCAAGAAGTAGCGAGAGGATCAGATTTGGCACAGGGTGCGGACGGCGCCATTTCGGGTATACCAGAGGCCAAACTCCGGAGTTGCATACTGG